GTGCAAAGAATCAGCTAAATTGGTCAACGTTATCAGGTCGCGCCAACGATTTCAATTTTGTTCGGGATTTTCGTCAAATTAATATGGGAGAAAATGATGACCCATTAAAATCATTCTAACTTTTTTCTTAATAAACCGATTTGCATGAAATTAAAATAGGTTATACTTAAACCGCATGTAATGACGGTAAGAGTCTGAAGGAACCGGAAATCAAGGAGAGGGCTATACCAACAATCAATACGAAACTAACTATTTTAAATTGGCTCACTACTTGACTAGCCTATTGGTCCCAAGCAAATCGATTAACGTACCCTATTCTTGTCAAAATTCTAGTACTACACAATGTTTATTTTGATTCGCTATGAAAATTTGACAGATAGAATGAGGGGTTATTGGATTTTCCTATGTTTCGAGGGGTGAATCGATTAGCTTGGGACCGAAGATAGTACCAGAGCTGAGCCAAAAAGTAGAGCTCGTTTCTTCGGGACCTACTAGTCTTAGAGTTACCTCTATGATGATACTCTATGCCCAGGGAAGTCGAGAAAATTTCCAACCTGAAAGATTCCCTCCCTCTACCGGACCGGGAATTGAACCCGCCGCCTCCGGCTTGGTAATACCATAGAGGTAACTCTAAGACCACTGGGTCCCGAAGAAAATCATTATTATTTTTGGCTCATTCAGTACCAGAACAACGGTCCCAAGCAGTCCCAAGCTATTTCACTCACCCCTGCATGTTCTGCATGAATCCACACACCCCTGATGTTATCTGTCAAACTTTCATAGCGAATCAAAACAAACACAGTGTAGTAATAGAATTTCAACTAGAATAGGGTACGTTAATCGTTTGCTTGGGACCAATAGGCTACTAAAGTGGTGAGCCAATTTAAAATCGTTTGTTTCGTATTGATTGTTGGTAATACCGTGCCTTTACTGACTAGGCTATGAGGCCCCGTTGAGCACGTTATTTCGGGACCTTCTAGTCTTAGAGTTACCTCTATGGCTATGCTATAGATACTATGGCTGGTTTTCCTCATTGGGATACGAGCTAAGCACACACTTAGAAAAATTGATGTAAATTTAGGTGCTCTGACACTGACATATACGAGCGTCAATTTTGATATAAAATTGAATCATAATAGACGTGAAATTCAGCAGCTGAACGATCAATCAAACGTACTTTGGAACTTTTCAGTCTCTTAATTTTACATGACATGTTTGTTTACGTCTCATCCTTTATGTCAAAGATGGATTCCGTCACGTGTAAGATTACGTATTTGTAAGTGTGCAGGATAGTTCCATGATGGGCTGAAAAAAATCGAAAACCCTTAAGATGTTGCGAGAATTTAAGGAAGTACAGAGACCTTCTGAGAATTTATGAAAAGATTGTTGAGATTGTCGCGAATTTAGTGTTTCGATTTAAATGTTATGAATGCCAGGGAAGGATTCAAATATTAGTGCCAACACCGCCCACCACCCACTAGACAGCACGCAACCACTCCACGAAGTACCGCTACTCACAGCCAGATGCCGCTGACAGCAGGATTGGGAGACCATCGAGAGGCTGTGAAGCTGTCATGGGGTGAAATTGGGCTGAAGGAAAATGGATCAACGATCGAGAGCGCAAGGAAATCACCTGCCATCGTTGCTAGCAGATTGCCTGGCAAAAGTCAAAAGTGGTAGTCGAAAACCAAGCTAAACAAACCCAAAACGAATGTGATATACATCATAGTGAAAGATCGTTATTCGAAATAAAGTTATTAGTCTGCACGAGTCTTGAGGCGTGAAACTCGATCAGTAGTGAAGGAGGAGCCAACCTACTGAAATATCCAGGACCCTGTAGTTTACCGTTAACATTTATCTACGGGGGCGGTCAGACCCCGTAGTGTTCGCTGTGTACGACCTACTGCGGTCAAACCCCAAAGTTATCGTGTAAATACAACCGTATTCCGATCCATCCTAGAACCAGCCGCGTTCACTAGTCCGTGTTCATCGCCATTGTGGATCTGCCTTGACCGTCGAGGACTCGTTATACAGTTCGCGAATGGCTCGGCAAACGGTATCGTGGGAGCACCCGTAGGAGGAGAGGAGAGTGAAGTGTTAAGAGGTGAATCGGCTGGGCAACCCACAGTCGAAACCGAGGGACGAAGGACAGAAGCAAAAGAAAGGAGAAAGTGAAGGTGAAGGTGTAGCGGAACGGAGGAGAAGGGGGCCCCTATCGACAACGGAAGACGAAGGAAGAACTAGTGAAGGCTAAGGTAGGAGATAGCCGATAAAAAAGTGGGAAAGTTAGGGAAATAAAAGAGACTTGTGTGAAAGTTCATCGGGGTGTGTTAAGAGTATTTGAGTGTTTCCTTGGTCGCGATCAAGGAATCAAAAATATCTCCAGATGACAAAATGACAAGCGATCAACGAACCGAATAATAACGCTATGTCAGAAGTGAAAAGCAATAATGATATAATCTTCTTCGTTCTTTTTCATGACAAGCAGCCCGTGCGACGCAACTAACTCGGGGCGGTAGAAGGAAACGAGCAAATTTTTGGCAAGCTGCTTCACGAAGTAAAGCCGAAGATGATAGACGTGTGTTAATGGGAATTTTTTTGTTATGTCTTTTCTCGATTCATATCAAGCTGTGTCCTCATCCGTGTATATTGCAACAAAGCAGGCAAGCAATATATCATTATCCTTCCACCACTCGGATCGAGCTATGTTATAGAGCGAGTTTGTCATGGTAGTCGTAGCAACCGTTTTGTCTGTATCGTTGGTTGCTTTATGTGTTTGGATTCGCTGGCGCGATAGTCACACATGTATGCCGACCCTGAGGCAGTGTAGAGGGCGGTCTCATTAATGCTGGGCAGGGAGTACCCCACCTGTTACAATCTTCAAGTACTTTATGTCTGCACAGTAATGTTTTCTAGGCTTTGTCTTGTTTGATTATTTAATCAGAGACTTTATCGACCGTTTAACTCGACGGTTGTTTGACGATTAACCTGATCGGTGTATGGAGCCTAGAAACACAAACGAAGTGACAGACGACTAACTGGTGAAGAAATCCATTTAAATAATGTGGTTCACTGTAATAGAATTTTCTTGGAAGCTTGTGCCATCATCCACCAGATGGGTTAGTTTTTTTGTTTTGATTTGAACAAAGTTTATTTTGTGTACAATGATTCTTTGACAGTGTGCAAAGAGTGCGTATCATTTTGTCATTTTTTTATGCATTTCAGTTTTGAGTAGAGTGAAAGAGATAGAACCAAAACATTCTAGTACATTTGGTGAAAATGCTAGTTCAATCTAGTAGTAGTGTTGCCATGTGGTACACTGAAAAAATACAATAGCAGGTTAGTCACCAAAGTTTTCGAGCTGCTCCGTCTGTCACTTCGTTTGTGCTAGAAAGACGTTCTTTGGGTCACTGTCCTTTGACTATTGGTCAGTGACCCAGGCCATTCGTTTTCCATCGCCAGTCATCGTGTCCGTTATGCCGTTCACAATGGCCTTTTTGTCACCACCTCTCATGGCCGCCTAACATGCTGTTACTCCATCTGGTGGTGGGTTTTGTAGGCTTTGGTGGGTGGATATTACCAACAATCAATACGAAACTAACGATTTTAAATTGGCTCACTACTTGACTAGCCTATTGGTCCCAAGCAAATCGATTTACGTACCCCATTCTAGTCGAAATTCTAGTACTACACAATGTTTGTTTTGATTCGCTATGAAAGTTTGACAGATAAAATGAGGGGTTAGTGGTTTTCCCTATGTTTCGAGGGGTGAATCGATTAGCTTGGGACCGAAGAGAGTACCAGAGCTGAGCCAAAAAGTTGAGCACGTTATTTCGAGACCTTCTAGTCTTAGAGTTACCTCTATGGTAATACTATAGGCTGCTCTACTCTGACCTACCAGGGAGATTTACTAACGGAGAAAAACTGCAAACATATACGAAAACTACCAGCCATGATTTTTCAACATATTAACGAGTACTCAACACTATATTCTAAAAATTACACGACACTGAGACGCTAACACTCACATCGAGCAGAACCGAGATCTTCAATAGAATTGAGAGCTTTAGGAAAGCATCGAGATCAGAGAATCAAAGGGAATTCCCGGCAACTTCTGCAAACTCCGAGAGAATTTCTGGAAAGTGATACAAATTATATGAACATCCGGAAAACGTGAGAGTATTTTAAGAGATTTCAGAGAACTTAAAAAAATGCGAAAATTTAGCTAAGTTTATTAGAGAACATCAACGAAGTTCCATTAATAAAAAAAAAATGCGAGAAACTTCTAATAAATTTAGATATTTTTAGATATTTTCATGATATTCAGTGAAGTTCCGAGTACTTCGAGGACGATCAGATAGATTCAGAGTAATCCCATTAATTTAAGCAAATTCCGTGGAATTGTGCGGTATTTCAAGAATTCTATGATTTATCCAAAAACGTCAGAAGCGTCAGGGAATTATGAAAAGATATCAGAAAATTTGCCGGATAATTAAACAAATTTAGAGAACTGCAGGTCAGCGGGTTCTTAAAAAAAAACTGATAAGTTCAGGAGAGAACTTTAAAGAAATACAGTCATCGTTTAGGCAGTATTAATAACACCAGAAAAGTCTAGACTATTGAAGAAGTTTTAATTTAGTGTCGATAATTTAATGGAAGTTTCATGAACTTTAGAAAAATCTTGAGAACTTCAGTGAAAACCTTCATTGAGTCGACACCCTGTAAACTTGTAAATGCAAATATAGAGGTAAATATGAAGTGCGAAATGCTCTATTTTGTAGACAACAGTAGGGACAGCTGATGGTCAATAAGCGCAGAAACCATTTCCATCGGCTCATTCAAATCAAAACTGGCGACGTGAACGGTGATCCCTACGTAGCAAATACCCCTCGTAAGCTTGACAACCGCGCACCATTTGTTTACATGTCCTTGCGCATGCGCTCACCAGTGCTGCCATCGCCATCACCAACAGCAGATCCTTTATTGCCGTATGTCAAACGAAAGTAAAAGCGTAAACAAACGCCAGTCGCACACAAAAAACCCGACCCACCACCAGCACTTTTCTCACTCTCGGCAGCAGTAGTTCCCTTCTTTGTATTCTTCACTGTCATTTCTGCCATTTTCCTCACCACAGACAATCCTGTTTAGAAAAACAACAATCCTGTTTTGTAGCATCATCCTATCCGATCATCCGAAACTACGTCCACTAATTCAGAGTGTCCAACTCACTCGTTGAAGCGAAAAACCCGAACGCAATCAACAGGGACTCCATCTTTTCCTTTCTCCACAGTGGAACGATACGGCAGCAAAATTAATTACTCAAAGTTCCACAATGCGATGTCGCTGTCGGCGATGTCGAAGGTAAGTACTTTCACTGGAAACTGAACTTAATCTACCTCAACGCGGAGTTGGTAAACAAACTTGACCTTGACTGAAGCCGGTGGTCTCCACACAACAACCTCCTGCTTCCACTTTGGAGACTTTCCAACTGGATTAAGTTTGTTTGCCCCGGCGAGGTAGGCAGCAAGCAGAGCAGCTAACGCTCTCACTGCTACACCCGCGCACCCGTCAAAGATAAGCACAAAAAGTAAACAGGTTATCTTGAATATGCGACCGGTGAAACCTGTCCATGTCTCGTAGCAAACAAATTTGAATAGTCATTAGATCACCCGAAAAAAAAAACAAAACAAGTTTGCTTGGTAAAGATTGTGGAAGTTTTTCCTGCCAGTTCCGAACCGACTAGCACCGTGGCAAGATGTCTAACGTTTCCGATAATGTTTCTTTTCCCCTCGCGGAAACCATCTCCGCCGACACCCAGCCGATCCTGTACTCGTACTGGCGGAGTTCCTGCTCGTGGCGGGTGCGGATAGCGCTGAACCTGAAGGAGATTCCGTACGACATCAAGCCGATCAGTCTGATCAAATCGGGCGGCGAGCAGCACTGCAACGAGTACCGCGAAGTCAACCCGATGGAGCAGGTGCCGTCGCTGCAGATCGGTGAGTACCGAGCTTATTTATTTTGCCGGGGATTGTGAGTGGGAAGGTTCCTGACCGTGTTTAGTTTAGTGTTTTGCAAGGATCGAAAAGGTCGTGTCTCAAATGGTCAAACGAAACAGAACTATTTAAAAATAAATGCACTAAACTGACACTGATCAACCACCTAGTAGGCCTTGTCTAGTTCTTCATAAGAGGTTAAATTTTGGGATCGGATTTGTTTTGTAAAGCTAGATTGCTATCGTTACCCACGACTAGGGCTACCATACGTACTCTTTTTTGGCTCTTAAAAATCGTATACTCTTTTTGAAAATTTTAAGTTCATGTCTATTGATGTACTCCTTTTGCAGTTTATTCTATATTGTATTGTTTTCTCTGAAAATATCAAGAAGCGATTTGTTGCACTTGGTGTGGTACTCAATATCATAATTTGCAATGTTTCTCATGTTTTTGATTACAACAACAATATTTAGGTTAAATGATGGCTTCGGCATCCATTGACTGTTTTGGGCAACCAAAATTTAAACGTTAATTTTGCTGTATTTTCTCGCTAACACACTTCACTGATTGTGAATAAACGACTTCTTGGTCTTTCAGCTTCAATCTCATTAAATTTTTCCGACTGAGCACCCTAGTTATGTCAGGTTTTTCGTAAAATGAAATATCCGCACTACGAAATACGGATGGTTTCGAGTTGCCGATAATAGAACAACTAGTTAATAGTACGTTCAAACTACAGAGTTATAACTTGTTATAGTACTATCTTGATGGTGGTTTCTGTGTTACAATTATTTGACAACCGTTATAATATGTTATAACTCTGTAGTCTGAACGTACTATAACATGCATTTTAAATGGAAAGGTTGCCGAAGAAAAATAAGCTGCCGACAACAGTCACACTCACCTGAAAAGTTTGGAGCGTTGTAAAAACGCTTTAAACCCATTTTGGATAATTCTGTCGATTGGAATGGATAGAATAGCAAGGAGCAGATAAATGTAAACAAACAAACACGTCATATGTGAGCGTAGCGCTGAGAAATGCTATTAAAGTGCGGACGCAACGCTGCTTTGATTGACGAGTATATGTAAACTATCATAACCAGTTAACTATAGAATTTTGTCGTCCTCTGAAGAATTGTTTATTTTATTAAGATTGCACCGAAGACAACAAGTCTCTAGTAGAGCCACTTTTCTCATATTCGGGCATTTTTTTTCTATAGGAAAACCTGGGAAAACATGAGACAAATTTACTCATCGCTGAGTTGCTGCTTTTTATATGATTTATGAGTTAAATAAACTCAAATTTGGTTCGCAATCATTCGCCGTGTTCTGTCTTTCAGATACACGGCCACTGATAATAACCCAGAAAGAGTGTCACTTCTACTCAGAGGTATGGAGAAATTTATAAAAACTGCAGGAACTCACACCGAAAATAGTTTTCATGTAGCTTCCATTGGAAACGCAAATGATTTTCATCCACAAACAAAATTAATGGAATTCATTCGAATTTCACATAACAATTATGTGATCACGTTAATTTTATATGATTTTTCATATGAATTTCAACGGCCTCATAATATTCATGTGATTTTGTGGTGGGATTTTTAGCTATGTGATCACATGAAAGCTATGTAAAATTCACATGGTTTTCATCCATTAGATATGTGATAAATTTTTTGAGTGCAGCGTAGAAGCGTACTCTCGCTCTGAGTTATTCTCAGTGGCGGTGTATAGGGTTACCATATCAATAAATTGTAAAGGAGGATATTTCACTTAAGTTTTGGGCACTAACACAAAATTTACGACTCGCAAAAGGTTCAATTGCGATTGTTCATAACTTGTAGCCGTCATCAACTCGATTACAATCATAATTCCCTCGTTGGGGTTTTTCTTGATCACGTGATTTTCAATTGGGAATTCGCCCAGGGCGCCTTGAATAGGCGTTGGCGTTGGCGTTGACGGCATCGCCGAAAAATCGTCTCTTCTAGCAAAGATTGACAGTTTCTTATGTTAATTTTCAGTGGAGTGAAAATATACGATAGTACGAAGTCCGCCATGTTTCACGCAGATTTTGACATTTGCTTATGATTTTACCATTGCAGAGCTACAGAGTCGCCGTCAACGCCAATTCTTCGTTGCCTAGCGCAATTATATTGAGTTCGCACCACTAAACCGTAGTCGCGACTTTGACCTGCGATGCGAAGTTTTCTTGCGAACCAACTGTGAGTGCAGATTGTCGGGTGAGAATCGAAAAACAACTAAACAAAGTCAATGTTTGGCTCGGTTTGAACGCTTGAACGTAATTGTTAACCGGCGCCGGTGGTGTAGTGGTAAGCGTGACTGCTTTCTAACACCCCGATGGGTCTGGGTTCAATCCCAGCCGAGGTCGGTGGGATTTTTCTGAGGCATAAAAATCTCTGGTCACGTCTTCCTTCGGAAGGGAAGTAAAGCCGTTGGTCCCGGCCCATGATGTGTGTTGAATGGGTGCGATATTCTACGCAGGTGTGGAAAGCTGCCTTCCTGCACATTCGATTGCCGTCAATGGATGGCAATCGATGTCCGTCGGTGATTGGCACTAGATTGCGGAACAGAGACCGACGTTAAATAAAGGAATGAAGAAGAAGAAGAACGTAATTGTGATTGTTTAAATTTATAAATATTTGAGTTTCTGACCATTTCTTTACAAACATGAATAACGTAATCTCCTGCAACGTTCGTCGAAAGCATGCAGCATCGAACACAGTTTATCACGCGTTGTACGGATATTATTTCCTGGGAATATCGAGAAAGGACTTATCTGTTATTTATGGAAAGGCCCTATCTACTATCTGTGAGTGGATTGCAAAGTACGAGAAAAACGGATATTTCTCCCGGAAGCAACGTGCTCAAGTATATAAGAAGTTTGGATCAGTGGATCATCGATTTATACCGAAAAGATCCCGTGCTGTTTCTAGATGAAGCCAAGCAGAAGTTCCAACTCCACTTTCATCAGTCAATCAATGTTTCATCTATCTGTATCATTTTACACGAAGCAGGGTTTTCATGGAAAACCATAGCGCGTCGAGCGATACAGATACGCGACGATGAAATCATCCGTTTTTGTAAGGAAATGCTAGCAATACCATGAGATGTCTACAATCTGGTGTTCTTAGATGAGGTCGCGTTCGATAACCGTGACATGCTAAGAAAGAAAGGGTATGGAGTCATCGGAAAAAAAGTAATTTATCGTGGAGAATTTTGTCGGAGACCAAGAGTATCTTTTCTTTGCTTTTTGGGGTTGAACGGTATAGTTGAAAGCTTTTGGACGGATGGGACCTTCAATAGGGCTAATTTTTTTGATTGCTCCAAAAAATTAGCCTTAAACAATCGTCAAGTACAACAGTATCCACGATTCCATTCTGTATGGATCATGGATGGAGCTAGAATCCATTGTGATCCTAATATCATTCGGAATCTCCGGTCCATAGGAATTATCCCTATTTTTCTTCCTCCCTATTGCCCCTTTTTTAACCCTATAGAAATTGTTTTTGGATTGATGAAAAAGTACTTGACAAGATGCCATAAGGAAAATGGTCCAATTTTGAGTGACGTTTGTACAACCGTTAATCATTCTAAACGATTTCCAACCAAAAAGATTTTTGAGCATTGTGGTTATTTTTCTGGAGGGACCTTCCTTCCTGAAAAAGGTCTAAGCCAAGACCCAAAGAGCATGGATTTCAATATTTGTCCAGTTTAACTATGTGCATTGGAATCGATTTATTATCAATGTATTTTATTCTCTTTGTACTTTCAAATGGCTGATAAAAATAAACAAGGTAAAAACATTTAATAAAACAAGTTCACAGGTTATTTCTGTCAGCGATGAAATCGAATTCTCATGCATGGTCTACGTCGTCACAATCAGTCACCCGAGACGATAGATTGTGGCTCAGTTCGGCTTCTTCTGGTTGCAGAGCCGATTACATAGCATCGAATAATCCAGATCCAGCTGCTCCTCTCATTCTCATTGCGCTCAGCCTGTTGGAAACACCTTGGAGTCCCTTTCAAGTTCTGCTGTTTCCTTTGTCCACCCATCGTTCACTACGTTTGCCACGACCATTCTGCGGTGCATGGCTTGCAATCTTGCTGGCTCTGAGACAGCGGCCCATCTGAAGTACTTTGCCAGCTCTAGTGGAGGGGAACTAGCTTGTTTGAGCTGGTCCTGTTCGTGTGCTGGAGCAGAATTTATTAAGTTCGCCCATAGCAGCCAGGAACTGTAGTGCCCTTCGATGTCTTGATGAGTTGAGCGTAATTCCTTAGCAAGTGCTGAATCATCGCGTGTGGAATGTGCTCCTGAGCGATCTGGATTTTGAGGGGAAATCAGGGTACGTTGTAGCTTTTGATGCTGTGCATTTGTCTCCACGTTCAATGAGTATACGTAGATGAAAATCTTAACAGTCCTTTCACGCCATGTTCGAAGCACCCGTGGGGTGATACTGGATACCGCGTACAACTTCTTCTTGGTTTGATCCTGTAGCACTATAAACTGGTCGATGTCTTCAAACCCAGATTGCTCTTCTTCGCTCCACACTAGAAACACTGGAATAAGAGACCAGCGGTGAAAAAAAACATGAATTTGGCAACAAGATAAACATCAAAGCAATCCTGGCATTACTTGCATTTGTAACTGCTTGCGAGTGACTTCGCCAATGCACCGACGAGCGAGTTCATGAGTGATTGTTAAACGATTTTAATACTCCTCCCTAATTGAAGCATACCATTTGTAAACATTGCAGATTGGAACCGCTTTTGACAGTTCAATTGGAATCATAACAGTGTCTCCGCTGGTCTCTTATTCCAGTGTTTCTACTCCACACTAGTGTTTCGTCATTGAAGACAACTTTGCGATGGACATGATGTTTTGCTTTATCTTTGGTACAGATCTGTCCGGGGCGTAGCTGACTCCGAAATAATTTTCGACAATATGTGCTCTTAATGCAAAACACGTAGTCGGTTGGAACACC